GAGGTTAAATACACGTTTAAAAACAAAACAAGTGGCTATAAATGCGCTTATTACGGTACTAGATGCACTACTGTCACACAATTTAAACATGTTAATCGCATTACGATTCAAAATTACACGATACAAACTGAAGTGGGCTAACTGAAACAGACATTCTGCACAGTACGTCTACATAATTAGTAAAAGGGATATTACTTATGTCACAAACTGCTATCACACATAATGTGTCATTTGAGCATAAAATATACATACTGCCAACAAAAACCATCGTAAAATGTTCTATACGATCACTCTAACACAAAAAATACCATAACAAAAGAACGAAAGATGTAATCATAACTTTGCAAGCCAATGGTCGCCATCTTGAAGTGCCACATTCCGAAATATCAAGCCGAGACTTTGAAGTCAAATTGCTGTGTATTCTTACATGCAATTTCAAAGGAATATACCTTCATGTTCCATTTTGCCAAAATGTTCTTTTTGATGAGTATCATTTAATATTACACACTTATTACTATGGGCCTAAATTAGACGTCCACTTCCGAACGCTTCGGCCCTCCGCGAAAACTGATATGTCGAGAATGGAATGCGTCAATTAGGAGAATCTGAACCAGATGACACGTAATTTTTAAAATTTTGTTTCGTTACATTTTTTATCCTAGTTATATACTAAGCGTTGACAAGAATGAATCTTAATTGTTTACATGGCTATACTAAAGGGTTTTAATTTGTTCCTTAAAATACTCTGGGAGTGGTCACTGAAGAAGTCTCAACCAAACCTTGACTCTCAGATTATATGAAAACACGACGATGAAAAAGTTGACAACACATTCTATTTTTCTATATAATATCCAAACTATATAGAACCACTGCACAAAACATTTAGTACTAATAAATTATCAAGCGAATAATTTAGTAATATAATTTGCATTTGACAGTCATTCCTCGTCTATAAACGTTACGACCTACTAAGACGAAGGTGTGAAAATAAAGGTACAATAAATGTAATCTCATATATATTTTGCATTATGTTAAAATGATAACAGGAATGGAAAATAATAATACATTATTTTAAATGTATAATATTATGCACGTAAATAAATAGGATCACCACTAATGTATTTATGGTTAATGAACTAAAGGCAATCACCGTCTTAATATGAAATACCTATCACGAGCGAAGCTAATTAGAATTTAAAATTGTTTGTGTCAAGTACTTTTCATCCCTGTAATTCCGCTTACGCATACAAAAGAAAGAAGAAGCTTAAATGTATAAGTGGAAAGGAAGTTATATCACATTTCGTTTCTTTTCCGTTTCATGTAATTCGGAAAGTTAGTTTTTAATTTACATATTACCTTTGAGCCCTAATCCAAGTTTTACAAAGATTATTTCCGTATGAATCAAAGAACGTAGGACAAGGCGAACAGAAAGAAACCACTCTTGTCAGCAGAGAGTTTCGAGTATCTTTGAAAAGAATGTACGAGTGGGTATGAATTTGTGTACGTTGTTTTGTGACACACTTTGCAGCCCTTTAGGTTATGCTTATATGTAGCGATAGGACGTTCGAATCAGATGGAAATAATACATATTTTGTTCTCACAAAATTAACAAAACATGGGGAAGGTATTATCCGTTATTCAACGGAAAGTTTATCGGTTTAATGCAGAAAACAGAGCACACAGAATTATATCAAAGGATAAACCAACACCAGCACCAAGATATCCATCGACAATAAAGGAACTAGAAACTATAAAATCAGGTGGTTTTATTATGAATAGTGCTTTCTTAATTTGGGTATGACAAATAACCTTTCAGGTTCTAACTTATATAAGCGCAGTAAATCATAACCTAGCTTTTATTATTTGTCGTAGATTATCCACATATTTTGGAAGAACAATACAAAAAGGACTCTAAACTGGATGGCCGACTAAAACAGGTGTACGTGCACTCATATGATCCTATTGTAAGTATTTACAATATCTTATCCTAGAACGATTCCAGCCGGTATTCTGTTTCAACTGACATTAATGGTATGACAGAGTGATGAAAGAGGACTGAATTTTGGGGTAAAACGTTTCATATCAGAAATGGGGATGCAACAGCTGAAACAAGAAGGCTTGGAGTTATGTGATAGGATGCATGTCCTTGGTTATTTATGAACATAAATACATACACATTTTAAGATACAGGTGGCTAATGGATCCTACATTAGGGAACCTATTGTTTCCCAGACATGTTGATCAGTAAAGCTAGTTTTGTTCAGTAATGATGCCTTGTAGCTGGTTACCATAATTTGAAGATAACAGTGATACTCCAAAATGTTTGTATTTGTAAATACCTGCAAGATTACATGGCATCTCATCCCAGAAGACTGCAATCAACATTTTTACCACAGAAACTTAGTTTTCATCTTGCTTTTACTTCTCAGCATAGTCAATTGGTTTGGATGGATGATAGGAATGATTGAATTCTAAAAGGTTGACTTTCCAGTCCCTCAAAAGCAGCTAATTTTTTGTTAATGCCAGACTTATAGAAAAGTGAGCTCAGGTTCATATCCATCCTTTATCACACAACAGTTGTGACATTTTGTCTCTTCCACCTTCCATACTGTCTTAGTGTCAACACTCTCAGATAAGAAACAATATTTCAGTATTGTTAAAAAAGTATGAAATTCTAAATTCTCATAACAGGGAAGCTGTGGATTGTGATCTGAGATGTGACATCACGTAGTGGGTTAGCAGTATTTTAGAGGAAGAATTGCATCTACCTTCCTTCAAGTTTGAATATGGAAGCAAAATATTCCTCTAAAATGTAGGTAAACATTTACAACATTAGTATCCCGTGAGATCAGGTTATGGTTGTTCCCACACACCCCCACAATACTCGAAAGTTTGTTGCCATGTTAATGTTCAAAAACAAATTTTGTAGCTTTTGTAAGTATGATCATAAATCTTTTTCTCAACATCAGTGCAACATTAGCTTTCAAACCTGCAGTTGTACATCTCCACTGATGCTTCTGTTCACTCACAATTTCTGTCAGTAGATAATACTGACAGAATTCTTTATAAAGGTATGATTATGCAATAAAACTAAACAAAATAGGTACAGCTCTTTAACACACATTTCTGAAAGAATCTATATGAACTATAAAGCAGTGTGCTAATTTCAGAAATTTAGATACTTGCCCTCCCCCATTTTTACAGTAGAATTCCAGTCATTCATATTTAATTTTATACTCAACACTTAAAATGCTATTTTAAAAAAAGATTCTGATAATTTTTTTCTGTCTTTCCAAGCAAATGTTGAGATGGTACCTTAATGTAGGCTACAGTTACTTCTACATCCTTTCCAATTCATCATTCACAGTCACCTAATCATTCAACACTATATAACCACAAAGTTGGAAAAGCATAATTAAATAAACCAAGAATCAAACCCCCATACAAAAGACTCTCCAGCACAGACCTTTTCTCATAACAAATTAACAAATAAAATTACCACAGTTTAAGAAATGAGCCAGCAGAGGATTTTTCCTCAAGCCTCTGCATCCAGACTGGTTCTGCGGCCTACCCAGCCTCCTATCCAATGGGTACCAGGGTCCTTTCCCAGGGGTAAAGCCTGGTCAGGGCATGATGCTGACATCCCCCAAACACCTACATGGCGTATAGTGGGATAGCTTCACCTTTACTATACACAGTTGAAGAAAACCTGCCCTCCAGGCAAAGGTTAGATTTCAAAAGATACATTTCTTGGCATAAGAACTTCATCAAATGATCTACAGGAATAAACTACTGTGGGAATAAACATTCAGAAAGTAATTTGCACAACAGCATAACAATCTACTATGTAGTTCACTTAATTCCAAGGTTGGGTGACAATCTGTTCCTTGGAGAGACATATCCACTGAATGTGCAATGTTGACCTGAAGAAAACTATGGAAGTTGATATAGCATTTATTTGTTAATTTGAGGCAAGGAGTCTTTTTTCTTGTTTACTTGCATGATTAGCACTAAACAATAATGTGAATGAAACATGTCAATTTGTTGCTATCAAACAGTAGTAATTAATGGTGACATAATAGCACAAATATGTAGTTTCCTATATTTCTAACTAGGTTGCTGAACAGCAAACAACCAACAGTTCTCATTCCCTTCCACAAGATCGCAGACCATTGGAAGAGACTGAATTTGGATATACAGAGCCAATGATGATTCCTCAGGGCCGATTTACTCTGAAGCAAGCAATGAAGTTCATTGCTGATCACCATGCAGATCCAAACACTTGGACAGCAACAGCTATAGCAAAAGAATACAACATTAATCAAGATAAACTAGGTATAATGTCTATATCATACATATAATATCAATGCATTTATAATCTAAATCGTGAATGCCACTGATAGTGTAGGACAAAGGTTACAGTTGCATGGAAGATTAAAAAGTTTAAACAATGTATCAGCATGCATTCCTGTAGTATTTATATCACTTTATACTTGTGGCAAAAATGACATAAATCTTTAAATAAACATTATTTGGTAAGATCTTTTGTACAAAAATTCAAAATTTTATATTAACTGTCACTAGGTATACTTTCACAACAGTTTCATGTGGCAATCACACTGATACTGCCAACACGAGAAATCTGAAACAAAATTACTTGTGTGATTAAAACATTATTAAGTGGGGGCAGACAGAAATGAATAATTGTTGTTGTTTCATGTATACTTACACTCAAATTTAAATTTGTCTTTTGATACAGAAACAATTCTGTTCTATTACCGAATGTTTCAAGTACATATTCCTGAAGGCATGGGTAAGAAGATTCCTGTGAAGTTAAATACTATGACAGAAGAAACAAAGAACCCACAAATGTTACAATCAGATGAAGAGAAAATGCATCATGAACAAAAGTGAAAATAGTAATGGAATATAGAATTAATAGACAGTGTGCAATTTATGTAGATTGCTTTCAATGTAACATTAGTTTATAATGTTTAAATTATTCTACAGCTTGATGAGCTAATGTTCTTTTGTGCTACATGGAAGTTAATTTGGAATGTGAGACACATTTCCACTGTTCAGTAGCTCATTATTATTTATCATACAGTTCATAATACAGAAATATATATGTAGGAAAAGGACTTGCAATATAAAGAGATATGGAGAAACTTTGTACGAAAATGTATGTTTTCATAAATAATTAGAATAATCAGTTTGTTGACATATATGTACATGATGAATGTATTTGGACTGTGATAAAGTTACACAAAGTAATGTAATTATATATTCACATTACATTTAAAAGCAAACTATGGTCAGTCACCTAATCATTCAACACTATATAACCACAAAGTTGGAAAAGCATAATTAAATAAACCAAGAATCAAACCCCCATACAAAAGACTCTCCAGCACAGACCTTTTCTCATAACAAATTAACAAATAAAATTACCACAGTTTAAGAAATGAGCCAGCAGAGGATTTTTCCTCAAGCCTCTGCATCCAGACTGGTTCTGCGGCCTACCCAGCCTCCTATCCAATGGGTACCAGGGTCCTTTCCCAGGGGTAAAGCCTGGTCAGGGCATGATGCTGACATCCCCCAAACACCTACATGGCGTATAGTGGGATAGCTTCACCTTTACTATACACAGTTGAAGAAAACCTGCCCTCCAGGCAAAGGTTAGATTTCAAAAGATACATTTCTTGGCATAAGAACTTCATCAAATGATCTACAGGAATAAACTACTGTGGGAATAAACATTCAGAAAGTAATTTGCACAACAGCATAACAATCTACTATGTAGTTCACTTAATTCCAAGGTTGGGTGACAATCTGTTCCTTGGAGAGACATATCCACTGAATGTGCAATGTTGACCTGAAGAAAACTATGGAAGTTGATATAGCATTTATTTGTTAATTTGAGGCAAGGAGTCTTTTTTCTTGTTTACTTGCATGATTAGCACTAAACAATAATGTGAATGAAACATGTCAATTTGTTGCTATCAAACAGTAGTAATTAATGGTGACATAATAGCACAAATATGTAGTTTCCTATATTTCTAACTAGGTTGCTGAACAGCAAACAACCAACAGTTCTCATTCCCTTCCACAAGATCGCAGACCATTGGAAGAGACTGAATTTGGATATACAGAGCCAATGATGATTCCTCAGGGCCGATTTACTCTGAAGCAAGCAATGAAGTTCATTGCTGATCACCATGCAGATCCAAACACTTGGACAGCAACAGCTATAGCAAAAGAATACAACATTAATCAAGATAAACTAGGTATAATGTCTATATCATACATATAATATCAATGCATTTATAATCTAAATCGTGAATGCCACTGATAGTGTAGGACAAAGGTTACAGTTGCATGGAAGATTAAAAAGTTTAAACAATGTATCAGCATGCATTCCTGTAGTATTTATATCACTTTATACTTGTGGCAAAAATGACATAAATCTTTAAATAAACATTATTTGGTAAGATCTTTTGTACAAAAATTCAAAATTTTATATTAACTGTCACTAGGTATACTTTCACAACAGTTTCATGTGGCAATCACACTGATACTGCCAACACGAGAAATCTGAAACAAAATTACTTGTGTGATTAAAACATTATTAAGTGGGGGCAGACAGAAATGAATAATTGTTGTTGTTTCATGTATACTTACACTCAAATTTAAATTTGTCTTTTGATACAGAAACAATTCTGTTCTATTACCGAATGTTTCAAGTACATATTCCTGAAGGCATGGGTAAGAAGATTCCTGTGAAGTTAAATACTATGACAGAAGAAACAAAGAACCCACAAATGTTACAATCAGATGAAGAGAAAATGCATCATGAACAAAAGTGAAAATAGTAATGGAATATAGAATTAATAGACAGTGTGCAATTTATGTAGATTGCTTTCAATGTAACATTAGTTTATAATGTTTAAATTATTCTACAGCTTGATGAGCTAATGTTCTTTTGTGCTACATGGAAGTTAATTTGGAATGTGAGACACATTTCCACTGTTCAGTAGCTCATTATTATTTATCATACAGTTCATAATACAGAAATATATATGTAGGAAAAGGACTTGCAATATAAAGAGATATGGAGAAACTTTGTACGAAAATGTATGTTTTCATAAATAATTAGAATAATCAGTTTGTTGACATATATGTACATGATGAATGTATTTGGACTGTGATAAAGTTACACAAAGTAATGTAATTATATATTCACATTACATTTAAAAGCAAACTATGGTTTTCTTTCTGTTTTTTAAAAATCTGCACAGATTCCTATTAAAAATATACTATGAAGTGTTGTTACTGTGAACTCTTGCTAACTTCAGCTAGTTTTACATCCCATCATGAACATCATTTAATTTAATCTTGTCAGAATTTTGTACATATAAAACTTACTTATTCCAGTAATATCATATGACCTTGTCCCATCGCCAAATAGTTCCATCATCACATACACATAGCAATATTGAACCATCACGACTGAGACTAGTCTGTCGAACTGCTGCCACACATCGGGGATGTGTCAAAGTTGTACATCGAGACTGAGTTGGATCAGTCACATCCAAATCCCACACAAATGTACGTCCAACTTGATTACCAAGTGCTAAAATCTGTAATAAAAACCAAGTGTGCATTAAAAACATTATATTTGTAGAGATTAATTTGGTTTTAAAGTAACACGAGTTTAAAATAATTATTACAGCAAGTATTTTTGTATAAGTACAAAACTGAAGAAAATCGGACAGAAGATGACTTGTCATCTGGAACTAGCACAGCACAGTCTAGTCAATATCTGCCAGATAACATCCCAGAAGACAGTCATCTTCATACTTCTTATTGTGTGATACACAAATCTCACCTTGTAAACCCACGTAGGGAGCTTATTCTACTCCATGTAAAGAGAATCAAAATTTCATTGATTTGACTCTGTCAAAGGTGTAAAATACGTTAAGCCATGCTGAAATATCAATGCTGCATATGGCCATCTCAAACTTAAAACCTTATACATGAGCATCCAGTGCTTTAACCTTCCCTGTTAAACCATTCAAATATTTTGTACAAATGCCAATGCATTACATTAAAAATAATGCACATTTTCTCAAGTACAATATTCTATTTAGTGTACCTTCTGCCAAAAATCCATTGCAAATCTGACAAACCAAATTTCACATTCCTTATATTCAAAACGGTGAATAATTGTAACACTTGTTTCATTTGATCGAAGTTCTCTGTCTTCTAGACGTCCTGGTTTCCAACACACAATGCAGTTTTCACAAGACTGTAACATAAAAATGTACATTCTCATTTTTGTAACTATGCATGGATTTTTAATTTTAACAAACTACATACATTTTAATAAATATACCTTTGACAAGACAAAATCACCGAGCCATCTGACACAATCAACATAGTTACGGTGAATATCTCTTGTAGAGAAATCTGGAAAGTGTTCCTTCAGAGAGTCGAAAGGCCTCAGACTTCGAGCTGCATTGAACTGATAAGATCCATGGATAGCTTCTCTCATTGTTTCTTTGTCCAATCGCCACAGTTTCAAAGAATGATCCATTCCACATGACATAATACGATCACCACACAGGTCAAAATCCTATTAACAAATGATACTAAATGCATGTACAATCACTTGAAATTTAAATTACAGTAAAAGGTAAACATGAAAATACAGTGTACTCCATTTCAAATTTCACTTTTATTTAAAGACAATTTCCCATAGAACTGACCACATAACATACAAAATATATTTCTATTTTGAGACCTCTCTAGAATTAATCAATGCATGACAACACTGGATAACACCATAACTCTCTGTATACAAAAGAAAAAAAAAGTAAATAATACAGTACGTGGTAAAATATAAGGCTCTCCAAATTCCAAAAATACCACCAGGATAAAGAGTATCATATAAAAGTTCTTTATTGTGATCTCCTAGTGAGTTATAAAACAGTTACTATGGTTGGTGTAATAATACTAAAGATGACACTTTACTTGGCAAAAGTTTCATTACTTACAGCGCTAAGGACTTCATCTCGATGTCCCTCAACACCACCGAATATTGCAATGCAAACATCTGTCTTGATGTTCCACAGCCTCAAAGCATGATCTTTTGATACAGATAACAATAAGTTTGGATCACGCGGATGGAATTTAAGCTCATTTATAGCATGACCATGACCTGTTTAGCATAAGGTGACATAATGTTTAATAGAATCCACCATCAGGAAGGTCCAGGAAAACAAAGGGAATGTAAATGAATGGACTAAGGTGAAGATGTTAATTTACTAGGTGAAAATATAAGTATCATAAAGAAAAACACAGAAGCTCTATTCAAACACAAATAAATCAAGAAACTTACATAAGAGAATTCATATGATCAAATGCTACTACAAAACTTGCTCTATAAGTAAATGCAGAGAAAATTAAGTACATATTCATGTCTAATCACCAAACAACATGACAAAACTGTTATATTATGTCAGGTAATAAATCCTTTGGAAACGTGGCAAACTTCAAATGTTTGAGACCAACAGTAACAAATCAACAATTCATTCACGAGGAAATAACACATCAAATTCAAAGAATGCTTACTACAGTGCAGTTCAGAATCCTTTCTCTTCTTGTCTGCTATCTTCAGCAACTGAAGACTACAATATGCAAATCATGTTACCTGTTTTGTATGGGCATGAAACTACGAAGAATAAACATTCAGGGTGTATGAGAACAGGGAGCTTAGGAGAATATTTGGATCTAAGAGAGATGAACTGAGAGAAGTACACAATGAAGAGTACCAAAATTTGTACTCTTAATCAAATGTTTTATTAGGGCGATCAAATTAAGAAGAATATGGGTGGGGCATGTAGTGCATATGGAGGAGATGGGAAATTTAAACAAAATTTTGGTTTTAAAGCCTGAAAGAAAGAGACCACATGGAAGACCCAGGCATAAGTGAGAGTACAATATTAAAACGGGTCTTAAAGAAATAGGTTCAGAGGGCATGGACTGCATTAATCTTGTTCAGAATCCCTGATTATTATTTACTGCATATAGAGTTGAGCAATGTTAACCTTGGTTTGTGAATGAAAGCATAAAAGGTTTATATCTTAACATGACTACTGAAGATACCAAGTATTACAGGTTCATCAAAAATTTGAACAAAAATTATGTCTGGAACATCTGTATAAAAAGGCAATGCATGCTGCAACACTGGTACGTTCCAATGTGTAATTCAATTCAATTAATTTATTTACGTGTTTGCCAACAGCAAGAAGCCAATAACAGGCAAACACTGATAATACATACAATAATAATGAAAAATAGTACACAAACAGATTAACTAAACTTATACATTATTATTATTTAGTGTTCTGTAAAACGAGAAGTTGAGAATAGGGAAAACTTATACATGTACAGTATTAAATATAACTGCCAAGTACAGGCAAACCCAAAATAGAAACAATATACACAAAGAAAAATAAATGAAGATATATAAATAAAAACCAATAATCCACCTAGGGAACACTGATATAAATGTAAAACGTTACAGAAATACAAATAATCAGATAACCAAGCTAGATCATCTATCAAGACAACCTATCTAGATCATTTCCCTTATTGTGAATGTGCCCCCAATAATAATAATGAAGTATCTGCTGCTAATACAGTGTTAATAACATAACTTTCAGCCATCTACAAACTGTCAGATGTGTGTGAACACTACATGAAAAGTTATTTGTGTGAATAATGTATGTTCACTGCCAAACATAACTTTAAACCTTATGTTATACACATTCTTAGAATGCGTAAAGGAGTGTTTACAAATTGTCCAGTTTTGAATAAACCGATAATGTAATGTAGTGTTTTATTGTAACAGGGAACCTTCATCGACTAAATCACATCCAAAGAGCTGCAAAGATGGAGGAAGAAGAGACCATTTTCAACATATTTTGTAAATGTTTTGATAAATAATGGTAAAACTATTGCATGAGTTTTGGATCACTCTGTACATACGACTTAAAACTAACAATAATATGAGTATATGAATAAAATTGCACTGTAAATAAAAGTTGAGCATAATTTCACTGTGGTGTCTGGATAAGGGAGCAAGGATCGTAAACTTGTTCAATTTGTTTAAATTCTCACCAATGTAATGTCGCACACAAGACATTGTTGCTGGACTGAAGATACGTATAATGCCTCTTGAACCTGCTACAGCCAATAACGGCTTTCCTGAATCCTCATCAAATGACCATGCACAAGTGTAGTAGTTTTCATCAAGCTGGTAGCAAGTTAAGAAAAGTAAGTACAAAGGTTTCTTCAATACAACACATTTTAAAAAGTTCTTAATATTAAAGTCAGACACTAACTTCTCTATGGAGGCTAAGCAATATTAAAGTATGAAAGACAGAAGGGGTGAAGGAAATAAATGAAACCTCCAAAAACAAAATTTTGTGTGCAAAGAAAATATTTGACAATTTCCCAAGAAGAGCTTCGTCGAGTATTTCGAAACATGTTAACGAGATGTGAAGTTGCCTGCAAGCACAAGGAAGTCACTTTGAACATATTTTGTGGTTTAAGGTAAAAACAATTAATGTAATAACATGTATCAGTGACGAGAAATATTTGTAGTTCGCTGTTACTAGCGGCAGTGAAACTGATTCGCCGGTCACCCACCAGAAGAACGGGCATGACTCCAGCTGACATCAACAGTGCGTCGGCTGACTACGCAATGCAAGTCACGACCGCTGCCGCATAAATTGGAGACCCGGTATATCCACATGATTATAAATGATGTGTTGATCCCTGATTATAGCAGTTATTAGAACATTTGAATTTTATATAACAACACAGCTAACAGCCTCAGATTATGTAGTAAACTACACAAAGTCAAAAGTCTGAAGTCTCTTATAAACAGAGGATTGTTATACTTACAGTAGCATATGTGGAAGATATCTGTCTTTGCCAGTGTTACAGTAATACTTTCATTCGCTTTTTATTCCACAGGTACTTCATTTAATGCATGTACATGAAATCAATAAATCCACAGATGATGAATTCATGCTACAGGTTGACAGTATATTTTATTCAGTGTTGTCCAATTGCATAAGGTATAAGAATGACCAGTGGCGAAGCATCTGTGCATTTATTTTCAGTAAACCTCAAGAAGTATTACTAACTTCTTTGTTTCTGATTTTAGGCAGTCTGTTGAAAGCTTAAAAAGTCTAGAAAAAAATAACAGCATTTTAAAGGCTGAATCTTCCTTTGTCATCAGGCAAGGAGGACAATACCTACAGTAGACAAAGCAATCAGGAATAGCTTGGCCTACCAGATCCAATAGAGTAGGTGTCTTTCTCTATACCTGGTGTCAAGGACAATCCATACTTCCAAACAATGTGATTTTTAAGACTTCTGCTTCTGATATTAAAAGGATACATCAGGATCAGCATAACACTGCAGTAATTTAATCCCACTGCCTTCAGGGCATTCATATACAGAAACACGATTGCTTCCAACAGCTGCAAATATTAGGGGCTGTCCTTCTTTCAGATGATGATTAAATTGTGCACCAAACAGCGGTTGACCATGGTCTTCCTTCACACTAGTCCTGAGAAGGTTTGAAAAAAAAGGATTATAAACAAAGATGGCTGCCTTCTGGTTTGTAGCACTGTGCAATCTGGCACAAGACTACCAACATTTCAGAGGTCCTTCCTGCCTTCATCAACAAGGCAATGGGCCTACCAGATTACACAGTGCTACAACCCAGAAGACAAACATCTCTGTGCTCACAGCCGTGAAAACCTCAAATCCAATAGGTTTATAAACATTTGGGGTTAGCATGGTAAATTTTAGAAGTCTGAGGAATTAATCCTTTAGGCTTTAAATTTACTTTTATGACTAGTAGCTGCAATCAGCAAGATTCACCTTCCCTCAGATGTGACAAATATTAAACTTTGACAATTTAAAAAGTACCACGACTCCCCCTTGGCTCACAGGCCACATTTCATTAACTATCAAAATTATACATACGAAAACTTGTACTGAAGCTTCATGTTGTTCTTGATAACTTTCTTTCGCCCTCTTCGTCCTTTCCTTGCTTTACTGGTAGGAGTTTCACTTCGTGATGTATTGTCAGTTGTAGACGTGCTCCCTACACTTGAAGTTTCATCCTGAAAGAACCATACATTTTTCAGTTTCACTTATATGAGAATTACATTTTAATTTCGGTAACCACTTTTTTGGGCTACCATAATAAATTAGGCCTTAATCATCAGCCAGTTCTTATACCTAACCTCTAAAGTGTTTCTTGCAATAATATGTCACATAAGTAAGTTCTAAGTAAGTTACAACACGGTAGCCTAGGGACTTTGGGACGAAATTCATTCTTACTGCATCGTCTCCTGAATCTTCCGTATTTGTCGATGGCTCCGAATTAATATGAGAGCTTTTCATTCCTTTCGTTTTCATCCAAGAAGAACCTGGTGACATTGCCACCAATCACAAATCCAAACGCTGCCAGCAAACACCCGCCATATCCGTAACCTCTCCACTACTCCTTCTAAATAATGTTTCATACGCCAATGCCTTATACTTTCAACCTTCTCTCCTCATTTCTGTTCATTCTAGAACTGTTTTACAAACACGACAAAATCCGTAACATCAAATCAGGTCGAACCAAAGAAACACCAACTTCAGCACACTCCACAACTTTTTACTCGTCTTTGACATGGACACGGATAATAGATCATGGATCGCTAGCACAGATATCCTAAATTTGTGCTATTGGTTAGCAAACATGGTGTTAACTACAGATTATACCAACATTTCGCTCTCCTTCATTCTCGCTTATTCAAACGAAACTATTATAAACCTTCAAGTACTGTTAGCTCTGTACATTATTACTATTCATGAATTCAACTGGAACCATCAAATGAAAGTAAAGTACATAGTCCTGTGTTTCAAACTTAATGTGAGTTAAATGTTAATATAATTTCACTCCTGTTTATAGAAAATCTGTTAGGGTTAAAAATATTTCATACAGAAGGCATCATGCTAACATGGCGTGTAAAAAATATTTTAAAACTTACTTACTAAATTCTTACGCTTATTTTGTTTGATAAATGTGCATTATTAGTGTTCATACTTCCAAATGTAACTGACTGTATCTCTATGTAGAGCAGCATCAATATTACTCCTTTCTGGCATGGCGTACATCCCACAGTTTTACACTGTATAGCAGATAAGGCAAATGTGTTGTTAACCATTTTCGCATGATGCCCTCGATACAAAATATGAGAAATTCTACTTGGCATTCGAGTGTTTGAGGTGCTTAAGAATAAATGCGCAGGGAGAATAAGAACAGATAAATTTAACAGCAGCGATTGAAATTTTATTAATATACAATAACACATTTTAAATATACATTATTGCCTACATTTTTACAAATTAATAGGGAAAAATATACTTGATTTTAATAAATGCTACACAGATATCTGATAATATTTGTGGTGGTGTCATCAGGCCGTTCGTTGGAAATTTATTGTTCTCAATTATTGGATATTAATACCTTATAAAACAAATTTTCTTCATCAGTGCATTTTTCCCACTGTTCCTGTGTGAAAACAGCACAGTCCTTTACTTCAAATATTTTTTGCACATCGCCCTGAAAAGAGTTTGTTGTTTTACATTCGGAAAAACTACCTGGGCCATTCCGTTTTATAATTGTCACTTCATATTTGTAACTGGGTATGTTCTGTAGGCCCCTGTGGCGAAGACAAACGTAAACATTATTTTGATATATTCTGGTGTTTATAAAGAATATCTCGCCTAAAATTAATATGGCTTTGCGCCAATCGGAATTATTTGGATCATAACAATTAATAACTTCAATCAGCGTCGCGTTTTGTTGTGTTTTGTCACTACATATGTAATGCATTTTCCAAATGTGTTTCCTGGCCTTGCTCACATTGTCCTCCCAGGGGCATTTTATAGTCGCGATAGAAGAGATTTGGCATTTAAACGGATGGTGATCGCACTCTTCTTCGTGTGTTCTTATATCCTGCGGAGCAAACGTCTTTCTGCATCCTCTCTTTGAAAATCTGCAGGGACACATAATTTTTGCAACCAAATTTTCTGCGAGTAGGCTTCTGGTTTTTGAAAATTTGCACCTGCAGACTGGACAGGTCAGAAGTTTCTCTCCGCAGGTGGAACAAGTACTGTGCCCGTTCTCGCACATGGCGATTGGTGGTAGCATGTACTCCATACATCCTAGACACTTCACCTCCTCCAGCAGTTCCTTTAAGTCGGAAGCCATTACTAGATCCCAATGTTCAGACCTTGAAGAAAGAAAGAAAGACATTGTAGATGCGTAATAACAGTAATATCGGGGATAGTCTGAATGAATACACCTTCTTCTTCACATGAGACTAGAACTCATACTTTTCTAAAAGAAACTGACTGTGGAACCATGGTTCCGGAGAATCTGACGTAAATACGTCTTTGTATTTAAATTATATTTGGGCAATAAATACAATGAAAGGAAGTTTATTATATTAGCCTTATTCTAAATATTCCCTTTATACATGCTTTACAATCGAGTAAATAGTTTGATTAAGACATTGCTTATTTAACTTAAATTAGTTACTCTTAAGATGGGTCTGTGGTAGCTGAAATATGTTATAAAATTTGTGCACTTTAGAGTATCAACATTTCGTGCAATCACCATATCTTTACAAGATTTTGATCTCTTACACGAGTTCACAAATGCAGATTAAAACATTAAATGTGATGAAAATAATAATAATAAATAAGAATCCCTTACCTCAAACTTTGTTCAATTGAAAGAGACCACGATGTCCACCCGCAATGACCAATTTAATCAAAACTAAAATGGATGGCAGTATCACAGATTTCTTAATAATTCTTATATAAGATAAGTACTTGTGATATTCTAAAACGTTTTTACCAGCACAAAAAATTATCTACTCTACGACGCACTTCTTCTACAACCGACTCACAGCTCAGCTCTTTCCGCAATAACGAAAGCGGATTGTTGACGGCAGTAATGAAACGCAACAATGCTGAGTCGGTCCATATTTACATATTGTTGGTATGGACCCTACATATCTTCGTAACTAACGCTGTTTTTGCCGAATGACCTTTCCGTATAGACGTATTTACGTCAAAATATACCTTAAAAATGGAGGTTTCAATCACGAGAATAACTTGACAATGCGTTGATCGCATATCTTAACCCTCTGATACCCACCGTTTTTGTCTTCATCAACAAGAAACGTTTAATCAGTGTACGTACCTCCGCTTATTCTGGCTGTCGTGTTCCTCTGCGCGTTTTTTATGGTCCTCACTCCAGTCTCTCTCTCGTTCTTCAGTGATAAGTTCCTGTCCCAAGTGAGCTTCAATTCGTCCCTAATAAATGTTTAATGTCGATTTACTGAGCACAGAAATATGCACATCCACTAGCAGCTTCTTTCACCGAATGACAGTTTGTTTGTGATGTAATTACACAGCAGCTGCAACAATGCATTAATATTTTCTTGTGCAACAATGGTGTGATGTGACAATTTTAGTTTACACAGCAGCGGCAACATTGTATTAATATTTTCTTGCGTCACGTGAAGCTTAATGAAGAATCTACCAATAGGGGCACTGCTCTCGGTCAGCTGGTGGATTTAACGTTACGTCATAATACTATCCATTGAACAATACCAACAATACATTACCCAATTTATAAATAAAAATTCATTCACACAATTAACACAAAACCCAACTCTAAAATATCAAAAAGAAATACAAAAAATAACCCAAAAATGTAATAATATTTTCAATCCTCCTAAAACACAATACTACAATCATAGCGCATCTTCACCTATTATTACAGGACAAATAAAATTACACAAGAATCCATACTCCATTAGACCACTAATAAATTGGACATCTGCCCCTGCATATAAAATAGCAATAAAA